GATTCCACGGAATTGAATTCAAAACACACGTCCTGCCAATTCAAAAGCTGGTTCACAAAAGTAGTTTCACAAAAATATCAATTATTGTACAAAACATCAGTGGAGCACAACATCATAGTTCATTCTATCCAACCTTACTTAAAAAAACAATACAATGAAACAAAGCAAACAATGAACCAAAATGTAGACTTCATATATGTGAACTTCTTCTCTAATGTTCGAGCTTCACGATCAACACCTTCAAGTCTCAACTTCAGTTCAACATTTTTTTTGCTTCAATCTCCAATTTCTTGACCAACACATTCTTCTCATCTTCCAATGCACGTATCTCGGCACATTTTAACTGAAGCCTCTCTGAGACCAGTTGCTCCATCTCATTTTTGCACTTTAATTGCTTGTGCAGCCTTCCCTTTTCAGCCTTCAGCTTGTTAAAACAACTTTTTTGGTACGGCGGCATTTCGGGATCAACCCATTCAAATTTGGTACAAGGTGGTTCATTCGACTGTCATAAATGAGCATAACAAAGAGGCAAAAGTGAATGTAAATTCTTTATTAACCAAACATATTATTTACTATAATCAACGGAAATCAATCTCAGAAGACTAACTTTCCACAAAGTGTTATCAAAACTATACCTTCCAACGAGGACATCTGATGAACCTTCGAGCCAGGTTTTCATCCGTATTTGATGTCAACACATCGCATTCCTCGCCATGATCACAGAACCTGATCTCCATCGGCCTATTGTTGGAGGATCTGTAATACCGATTGCTTGAACTCGTGTTTGAACCCTGTGACATGGTATTTGGCTGAAAAACTGGAAAATATTAGGATATTGAATGAAAACTAACATAGCATTCGTGTAAATTTAAAAAGGCACAAAGAACCATTTCAATGAAAAAATTTAAAAAGCCTCAAGAAACTTCAAATTTTTTGCTAATTGCCTGAAAATGTGTAAATTGTCAGGCTACGGAACTGCGTCACCACAAAATGTGTTTACCCTCTTCACATTTCTAAGTAATATAAGATAAGAGCAGTAAAATCCTATCCCGAAAAAATGGCACACAGACAACTACATTCCTTTGTAACTACAAATAGCAGATATTAAGTACTAACAGCAATATAATTTGTAACTAATAGCAATCTATAATTTGTAACTAACAGCAACCTACATACATGAAGGGTAAGCTAAAAAAACATTCTGCAAACAGAACAAACATCTCGTATTGAAGGAGATTCAGGGTAATCTTGGTTAAATATACGCACCTTATTCGAACTAAATATTATGGAAAAGAGTTGAGAAAAGCACTCAAACCGCGATACAATTTTGCAGGGACTTGCCGAAACAAACTTATCGAAATATACGGATAAACACAAGAGATGAGATTAGAAATGAAAATTGAAAATGCATAGTCACAGGTGAGTTGGCTGACCTGCTAGTAATCGAGTGACCCAACGAGCGGAACTAGTTTCGGCCTCGCTTTCCCTTTTTAATTTTGCATCTATCCTTTTCAATTTGTTTGCATCAAACAAATTCGTTACAAAAAAATAAGGGCAAGATACCAATTTTTTTTTAAAAAAACCCTAATTACAAGCATCGTTGCAATTGAAACAAATTCGTTGCGGAATTTCGTCGAACTGAAGCAAAACTTAGTAAAATCAAACACATTTAGTAAAATAGAAACAAATCCAAACCCTAATTACAGCCACACTACAGTTCACAAGTCTAATTTCAAAAAAATTTAGTAAAATCAAACTGAAACATGGTATAAATTCATATAAGATTCTCAATTTAACGAAGTAAATTACCTAGTACAAACCCACAGTTGAAATTTGAAGCCAAAATCCTCTAAAGTGAATTCGCAAAACAGGTCGTAGAGCTCACAGCACACCCGTCTTTCGAGGTCGACGTCGTCCACGTCCGAATTCCGATCGTTGCAGCTTGTCGTCGGGTCCAACGTCTTGTCTTCGCTCACCACTCCTTCGAATTAGGGCTCGAAACTCCTTCGAATTAGAGCTCGACAATGTTCAGAAAAAAATAGAGAAGAAATGTGTAAAATCGGGGAGAAGATTGATTATGTTCACAGAAGGGTAAAATCAGTGAAGTAAATGAGGGATTCATTTCTTAAAAGTCCATCCCTCAAAATAAACATGAGACTAAATGCTGATATGGAGCTTAGTGTCACGACCCAAGCTATAAATGAAACTGATATATTCTTGTCAAATTCTTATACACTAATAATAAAACTTAAAAATTAATTTATTTTCACATATACTTAATTTGAAATATTGTATTTTTTAATTTATTTAATACTCTTGATCACGAAATTGATTGAAATAATATTTGGAGTTGAAACATTTGTCTGGGTTTCCTATCTTAATTAAATGTATCATATGATAAATATAAGCAATAAATTTAATATACTAACATTTGTCAGAAAGTTTCTAATAATTTAAAATAACTTGGTTCTCTATAAGTTTATTATATATATAACCTTAATCATTTCCACAATCAAAGTTATATTTTTTCTATTTATCTTTTATGAACCATCAATCAGTCATCCTTTTTGGTGAAACTTTCTGACACCACTCATAATTTTCTAGGAAAAACTTACTCCCTCTATTTTAAAATATAAGGCATTTAAGGTTATTGCACAAATGTTAAGAAGACATTAATTAATGAATAAATTGACTAAATTAACCTTATTTACTCTAATCACAACCACTCCACACTTCCTTAATTTCAACACAATGAGGGTATATTTGGAAAAAAATGCAAAAATTTGTCTTGATTTTTGAGCGCGCCTTATATTTCAAAAAAAATGAGAAATCTTTATACGCCTTATATTTCAAAATGGAGGGAGTATGTTGTACATGATGTTAAAAATTGTGTCGCATGTTTTTTCCTAGGAAAACCTTATGCGCATGGATGTTATTCGAGCCGCTTGTTTAACAATAACAAAAAATTTAAATAATTGGTTCGGCTCGGCTCGTTTTGTTTGCTACTTGTTAAAATAAACGAATGAGTCACACTCGAATTTCACAATTCGAATCGAACTGTTTTCGCGAACATGCATCTTGATTTGAATAATAGCTCTATTGACTATTTATGTGAACATACTTTGGAAGAAAGGGAAAGAAAAAGAATATAGAAGGTCTAAAATGATGAACACGCATTTAATCTGCATACTCCAATTGTAAAACACTGTGCACTAAAGAGGCAATCAACACAACTGCCCATTGCATAGGAACGTACGTGTAACATTTATATAAGTAAAATTGAGACTTTTCTTTACACTTGGTTATGTTTACATCAACAATTGTATGGACCATATTTATTTTGCTTTATCATTTGAAAAGTGAGCCATGCACGTAATTTCCTTGCAGATCTCGTGCTTTTTCTATTGTACTGTTGAGGGAAAAAAGTTGATCAATCACCAAAAGGATATAAAATTGCGGACCTCACAATTTTGACTCTTTCAAGCCACGGGAAAACATTGTGAAGCTTACAGAAGGTGGATTTCTTACATGATTTTGGAGCTCAAAGTGAGTGGCTGCAAATAAGGCTAACGTTTATTTGACTTTATATAAGAAAAAAGAAGAATTTTCTCACAACATTTACAACTGACTGATTTTAACTCATCATTACCATTACTAGCTAAGTGCAAGTACAAACATGAATCTAACATGTCAAGTAAAACAGTCGAGCAACCATTGAGCAACTACAAACATGTAATTAAGTACCTTTAAACGAATATTGAAATTTTCGGCCCATATAGGGCATTTTATATACAGGTTGGGGGTTCTGTCTTAACCCCCACCCTATTGGGGTGCTGGTTTAAAAAAAAAAAAAAAAAATNTTTAAAAAAAAAAAAAAAAAATGAATATTGAAATTTCTATATCAAATGAATTGTACTTTATATGCACGATTATACACAAAATATTATTTACATAAAGCAATGTTTTAAAACTCTGACTGATCCTTGACTTGGGTCGGGTTGGCCTTCGGGTCACCAAATCAATTGTTGATCTGGATAATTAACTCCAAAGAAATTTAATTATATTTATACTATTTTATTTTATAATTATGCATAAAAATAACAAAAATAAATAATTTATATGTTAATTTCGCCCAAATTTTAATAATATTGTATCTAATCACAAATATTATACCACATAAATATACATAATAGTTTTATTTCTGAAAAACCATTTTAAAAATGAATATAAAATAATATATAACCCCGCCGAATCCATGTCTAAGTCGACCAAACAAGAGCAAGTAGACCAGATTTGATTTAGTCCCTTGTTATCCGATCCAAAAGACCCATCCGATAGGTCCTGCAGAAAATAGTGACAAAGAATTTGTCATATTAAAAAAATGATCGAATCAATTCCGATCCAAATTTTCCCAGAAAAGTAAATTATGGCAAAATTTTACTGGTCAGAAACTTAAAGCTAAGGGGATGGTGCCATTAATAATTATATTCTTTCTTATGTTCATTTTCATTTTATAACTGTTCTCAATTCCCAAACATAGAGAAACCAAACTAGACTAGAAATATTAAGCAGTAGCTAATACTTGGAAATACTTCAATTTATGCAAGTACCAACTTCATTTAAGGAAGAGTATGTGCAGTGTTTTTAAAAGTCAGTCTTTTATTGCAATTTTACCCCCAATGTTTTAGCATAATCGATCTAAGCTAAAATTGCCTTTAATATCTACGAATCTAAGTTATTGTTGATGTAAGCATGCCTTCGAATCCAAGAGCCAACTTTTGTTCAAGAGTGCCTTCTTTTTAGATTTGCCCTACCACTTCAATTTTCACCTTTATATTAAATAATAAAAAAAATAAATTCTATTTGTGAATATTAATAATATTACTATCACCTTATAGCTAGCTTTCAACTTACATTTGGTTCCACTAGTCAATCCAATATTAAAAAGAAAACCACAAAATAAAAAGAAACCAAAATATATAGTATATTATACAAGAAGTGTCTCCCCTTCATTAACCCTCTTCTCCTTATACTCATACCACCTGGCATTCACCAAAAACAGCCCCAAATTCACCGCACTCAACCCCGCCAGCAGCCAGTAGAAGTTATAAAGCCTCCCTTTATTGAGATCGTCCGCCAGCCACGGCCTCTCCCCTCCCCCCGCCACCCTATGCACCACGCTCACCAGAACCGAGCTCACGAAAAACCCCAACGACAGCGTGCTCAAGAAAAGCCCCGTGCTCATCGTCTTCATCCCTCCCGGGCACTCCCTCAGGAAGAAATCCAGCTGTCCCATGTACGTCAGTGCCTCCCCTGATCCCACCAGCACGAACTGCGGCACCAGCCAGAAAACGCTCTCGTGGGCCCGCCGCTGCCTCCGGACCTCCGTGAGCGCGGCGGCCGCCATGGCCAGGACGGAGAGGACGAGCCCCGTCCCTATGCGCTGGAGAGGGGTGAGGCCCTGGGGGTTCTTTAGAAGCTTCCGGAAGATGGGGACGAGGGCGCGGTCGTAAATTGCCACGGTGAGGAGAATGGCGGAGACGAAGAAGACGGTGAGGGAGGCGGCGGGGATCTCGAAGGTGGGGCCCACGCGGCGGTCCATGGCGACGGCCTGGGAGACGGAGAAGGTGGTCATCTGGGCGTAGACCGTCCAGAAGAGGATCGTGGTGGCCCACGTCGGGAGCATGCGGATCACGAGCTTTACTTCCTCCACGTCGGTTAAGGTCGAGAGGCGCCATCGCTTGTTGTTGTTGTTGTTGTGTGTTGTTGTGGGGAACTCGTGGAGTACTCGGGTGTCGGTTTCGATGATTGCTGCCCTGTCGAGAAAGCTGCGATCGACGAGGATTTGTTGGATAGTAAGCGGGTGGAAATAATGTGTGTTGTTATTGGATCGACTCATCACATACATATATATATATATATATATATATATATATATATTCATGCAGGTGTGTGTCGATCTAAATGAAAAAAGAAAAAGAAGAAAAAAAACTCAGATGACTGGACTGCGAATAGCGAAGTTGAAATGGACATGCACATTCTTGTTTAAGGTGTGTTATATATATTGGGCAATCATTTTATGATCAAAAATTTTGATTAGTGCTCTCTCATATTTATGATTTTGGTATTTATGTTTGTGAAAATAGTTTTCTGATCACCCTACTTTGTAAATATATTAAATTTTTCCCACCATGCATCCAGTCGATGAGTAAAATTTTCACCCAAAAAAGTATGACGACATTGTGCATGAATATATGACAATTAATGTACCATGGTGCAACAGTTATGCGATCCATTCGCATAATCCTTCTCAATTTTCGTGGTGACAAAGTTAACATGTAAAGACATTGCGCAATGAATATGTGGCAGATATACACTTGATATCGACTACTATATATATATGGCTCATTTGCATAACCTTCATACTTTTTAAGGTGAAAAAGTTAAATTATTAGTCAACTTAATATACAAGTGAAAAAGATTTTTTTCATTAAGTTTATTTATGATTTATTTATTTAATATTATAGTCACTACAAGAATAATCATTATTAACCACACTAATTTTAGTGACGATATTAATGTCATGACTATAAAATGGTTATTGTGACGACATTCGAACATATAGCGACATTATTAGCGACGATATTTTTTGTGATGACATTTGAACATATAGCGACAAAAATTTCCGCCACTAAACTAAAAATGATTATAATGATTATTCTTAGTGAATGTTTATTTATCTAGACATCACACTGTAATAATGGGTGAAAAGACATTTGCCATTACTATGTAACACGAGCACTTATTCTGAATAAAAAGATTTTAATTGGACCAACTTTTTGAAAGTATTCCTACTTTATTGACTTTCATGTTCTTTTTCCTTGAGTGATATATGAATGGCAAAGATCCTAGTAAATTGGCAGCACCGTGGAACTATATTATTCCTATAAAAAAGTGGACACTTCACAATTTTGTAGTGAATATTTTTCCACTTTACAACCCCACCTGGACCAACTTTACCCAGTCTGCATCTCATGTATGATTGTACTATATTATTGATCAACCACTCACTTCCAAAATAACGGACACTATCATCCACCTAACTATTATTTTCCTCATTCCCAAAAATTATTGTGTTGTTATTGTCAGACGTGTTATCACCTACAAATAATAATTTACTAAAGAATTAATTAAGAACTAAACTCTCCTTGACAAAATATTATTGTTGTTCTGTTGTTATCCCAAAATATTTTCACCTCGGGTAATTAATAAAGAATCAAACTCTTCTTTTTTGAAATATCTTATACTATATAAAATATTTATCTATTAGTGAGACGGATTGTTAGGCAACCAATATGTCCAATATGTCAGTTTCAAATTGAAATGTCACTTAAAAAAATAATAATTAAAAATAAAAGTATGATATTTCATGGCTTAAGTATGTATTTTTATTACACATACATAATATGCACAGATTCTTCTGTTAGACAGTTCAATAGTTAACGAGTCGGTTAACTTTTCATACTTTATTAACAAAATACACCCTTATACTATGAAATGTCATCTTTTATTTACTGTATGTTACTTATTAAAAGTATGACATTTAGATATGTAAGATATACAACTATTAAAACAAATATAATTATCTAATCATTATACTTATCTAGAAACAAAAAAAACATAATTATCGAATCATTATACTTATCTAAAACCAATCTTATGGGTATAAGTAGTGAATCCATATATCTTACGATTACCCAACTTACTCGCGCAATCATATGTGATTTATACTATTTTTCATTTCTAATTCTCATATAAAGATTTATCCAAAAGAAGGAAAAATAAAAAATATTTTTTTTCTTAATATACCCGGAATCGAAATCGAGATCCCCTTTGGTTTTAAAAAAGAACAAGTGAAAAAGAAGAGAAACACAACACTCACCGGAATTGCTTGGTGTGCGGCAACTTCTGCTTCTTCTTACTCTTCTTCCCGCTGTCGCCACCATCCCCGACCAAATCATCGACGTCGTACAACAACGCAGGGTCCGCCGGCAACTCGAGCCCCCTTTTCCTCCACGCCGCCACGCACACGGCGGCGATCTGGGTGAGCGGGCTCCCCACGAGCTTCCTGAATCGGTACCGCCGCGTGCCGGACAGGAACACGATGAGCCCGACCAGAATCGCGCAGGCGCAGATCCCGTAGCCCCACTGCCTGCCGAGGTTGTCCTGTACGTACACCAGCAGCGTCACCGCCGCCAGGGCCCCGATGCTGATGAGGAAGAAGAACCAGTTGAAGAACTTCATCATCTGCTTCTTCTCACCCGGGTCGGACTCGTCGAACTGGTCCGACCCGAACCCCGACACGCTGGATTTCAGACCGCCGGTGCCGAGGGCCGTGAGGTACAGAGCTAGGTAGAGGACCGTCAGCTGCTTGCTGTTGGCCGGGACGCAGGGCTCTCCGGCGGCGCACTTCGGCGGCCGCAGGCCCGGGACTATGGTCGACGCCGTGAGTATCGTGACTCCCTATGAAAAATCATTAACTAATAAATAGTGATAATATGAACTTAATGTTTCAGACAAACTTGAACCGGGAATTAAATTAATGAAGTTTGTACCGTTGCTTGAACAGTGGCGAAGATGGCAATGGTCAAATACCTGGTCAAAATAATTGACAAAAGTTGGACACGATAAAGCTCTGTTTGGATAAGGGAAAAAGAAAGCAAGAGTTTGGATTTCAATTTTACCTTCCCAAGTAAGTATCGGCTATAAATCCACCGAGCAAACAGAGCATAAAAGAGGTGCCGAGAAAGTTGGTAACGGTGTTAGCGGCGGTGGCATTTCCCAAATGCATGGTGCCCGTCATGTACGTCAGCAAATTCACGGCTATGCCGAGTGTGGTTAGCCTCTCACATACCTCGACCACTGTTTTTTCATCTCATCAAATCATCTCATCAAATCATAAACATAAAATAGAGAAAAAAAAAATAAAGGAAAATCGAACAGTTTATGTACCGAGGATTGTGGCGGCGCTGGTCCAGCCGCCGGAGGAGGATTTGACGGCGGGGCTGCCCTTGTAGTCCCAGGCATCTGGAAGAGTCTGGGCAGCTTGTTTTGTTTCGGGTAAGGTTCCCATTTTCGATTGGGTATAGTTTTGTGGCCCGTGAAAGTGCAGTTGTAGTATTAAAAGGAGCTTTAATTTATGATTCGGTTGTTCAGAGAAAAGAAAGGGAGTTGCATTTATAGGAAAAGGGGAAAAGAGAGGAGTATGGGAATTGGGATAGAGACAAGTCTGGTGTGTGAAGTGATGATCTAGTTTTAAGGGGAGGCGTCTTGTTTATATAGCCGGGGCCTCGAAACTCATCAGGCCTTTACATGTGATTCGGTTTCTTTTCTTTTCTTATTTTAGTTTTTTTTCTTTTTTTAAAAGTAGTAAAGTGTACGTGCGATGCACGTGGGGACGAATGTTTTTTGTAAGATAAATTAATTAATAAAATAAAATGATTGCAGGAAGAAAAAATAAAATGTAGAATAAATAAACTCTTAATTATTTTTTTCTAAAAATAATATAATGATGTCGTAACATAAAAAAATTTAAATAACATATTACAACCCCAACAAATCTAAAAAAAATATAATGATGTCGTAACATAAAAAAATTTAAATAACATATTACAACCCCAACAAAAATGTAGAAAAATGTAACTAAATAAGAACCTAATGTATATTATATATGCATGAGTTCTTTTATTTATTTATGTTAGATTCAAGAGTGATTTTGTTTCATTCTGATTTTGATGAGAGATGTTCTCATAAGAAGCATTTATACTCGTTGTATTCTAATACATCAATAGTATTGCAAATTTTTTTTTAATTAATTTGGCAAAATGTTTGCTTTATTCAACACTTAGAGATACATTAGCCGAACATATAGTCAAACTTTATGATTGTATGATCATTACAAAGTATATTTACTAACACTTCATAAATATCTCTGTGATATAACCAATTGTATCATTAGAGTTCTTGATACTTGTGTTATTAAAATTCTTGATATTTTTTTAATCATTGTATAAAATACTATATTACTCTCTCTCTCCATATAGACAAATTGGTACTTACTCCATGGGGTGAGAACAAATTTAATCTCTAAATAAAAGTTGATTTTCCAAAATCATGTACTTCTCCAAAGTCGCAAAATTATTGTTTAATATTATCACACATCACTTTAAAATACGTATTTTAAAGTAATTGCACATATGATCGAGCACAATATATAATTAAGATAGACAAATTGGTACGTACTCTATGGGGTGAAAACGGATTTAATCTCTAAATAAAAGTTGATTTTCCAAAATTATGTACTTCTTCGAAGTCGCTAAATTATTTTTTAAAATTATCACACATCACATTAAAATTTGTTTTCTAAAGTAATTGCACATATGATCGAGCAGAATACACAATTAAGATTGTAAATATTCTATCAAAAAGTGAACTTATTCAATCATTCAAAATTAATTTAATCATAACCAAACATTGTCTTTTCAATGTTATTTATTTGAATGATAGATGAACTACATAACCTATTATTTGCAATTTGCATATCATTGAACATTTTGGTTGGTGCAATGATTTTAGAGTTGTTTATCATAATACCTTTCACATTCGTTTGGATTACTTGCAATATTTATGTGTCTAATAATTTATTTAATGCATTTATTG